TTCAGGGTTTGGTACTCTGGGTAAAACCCCTCCTTTTTCAAATATAAGCATATAAGCAGCTACTTAAAGAGGAACTTTACCCATATCTTTAAAATAACAACAAAGGCACCTTTAGAAATGTTTAGTAATGACAATCTACAAACACATACTTCTAGATAATTACCAACTTTTTACTCTTTGCATACCTTTTTTATCTTTTCTTCCCCAGTCTTCTCACAGTGAGCATTTTTACGAAGGGCAGATGAATCCATCTCCCTTTACTTCCCGCAACTCTGGCACATGTGACCATGCACATCATCTCAGGGGTGGAAAATGCCTTTCCCTGAGATCTCATGAGGTTACAGATGAGATTTCCCAGCAATGCTCTGCTGATGTAACCTTCCCAGGATGCAACGCTTGGACACAGATTACATAATTTTTGCAAAAGTGGACCAGGAAGTGGATGAACTCTATTTGTAAGTAAATTAAAAAGGTGTTTGTTTAACTAATGAATGTAAGATGATTTCATATCAGCATGCAGAGCTGCATGCTGATGTGATTTTTAGTGAAAAGAGGTAAAGGTCTGCTTTAAAAGAGAAGGAAAGGCAAACTTTTTTGGGGGGTTTTACTTCTCTTTTTGGTCACTGGAGAACATATACTAATGTACTCCCATCACTCAAAGTTAGCATATAGCAGGCTACTGCTTTTTTCTTTAACAATAAGAATAGAATAGGATGACTTACACTAGTGGAGCAAGACTACCCATACTGCCTACACTCAGCAACCTTTTGTGCAGTTTTCAATGAAGATTCTTCACACCATAAGATACAATACATTATTATGCCTGCATTGCAATTGAACAATCACCTATCTTGTAGGCAGCTCTGCATGTCTTATAAGTGTCACACGTACACATCAGCTCCTATGTCTTTTCTCTTCCTTTCCATTATTTTTCATAGCTATTTTTCCTTTTCCTCCAGATTCCTAGAATATGTGTTAAAACTATTTTTTTTCAACTATAGCATTGGCAGTACAGCCTAACAGCAAACCTGCCTAATGAATTGCAGACAACACGCTACATGCCTTTCTTGTTATAAAATACTGTAACTATTGACTCGTGTCCCGTTCGTAAACAAAGAAACAAGAATTTAAAAATTGCAATGAGTTCCAAAGAAATGTGCGTGAATGTAGTCTCTCTCTTTTACCGGATTAAGAAAACAAAGTTGATTGTACAGTGATGATGTCACCAGGGAGCGATAAGGAATGCAAATAATGACAACCAAGTGTAGGTCTGGGATGACATTCAACACCAGCATCTTTACCTTCACACGAGAAGAAACAAGGTATTTCATGCATAAGAATGGAAGAAAAGAAAAGGGAAAGTACTACATACAGCGGCTAACACACCCTGGTATCTTTTTTTTTAAAATATTGCTCAAAAGAAGAGAGTTGCAATCTGATTGCATAGGTGATGCCGCCACTTTTCTACACCAGTGTTCATGAATGAGGCCCACTGAAGTTATGAAGGTGACGCTGCTACAACTTGTTTTACAATACAGGAACATCTAACAAATTTCAATCTATATACTTCTTGTGGCTACAGAAGATGAAGCAGTATATGCACAACATAAAAGGATTAGTGACTTTAATATATACTGGGTTGGTGATCATTTAGTTAGTTAGGAAAGTTAAGATAAGCAAATTCAATTCATACACAAATAGACTTGTAACTTTGTGTTATCCAATACACCTCTTCTTTATTTTAGTGCACCAATATCATGAGATACATACTGTATGTATACATATACACCTAGGACAGTTTGGATAGAAAGCCTGTTAAAGCACCAGCATTCTTTTTTATTAAATGAGGAAGTACCCATAGGAAAGTCACACAAACACTTAGGGTGCAAACCTTTATTAAAAAAAGCACTGAAGGGTCTTAATTTCTATGACGATATATAGATGCATCTTGCTGCACTGCTTACCGTATAATGTTGATAACCTGTGGAGTCCAGGTGGGTGTTCGCTGTGACCAGGGACGGCACCGTGAACTATACAATGATTTCAAAAGATGTCACCAGCACACCATTGGTTAAGTGAAATTAGTCCATTTAATGACAAAACAATGCCATCCAAATGCAAGCGCTTACGGGGCCGCGTAGGGTCCCCTTCATCAGGTCATTCTGAGCCTGTGTGGCCCCGAAAGCGCTTGCATTTGAAATCATTAATTTCTATGACCACACCTTTACAAGGCTACAGTGCTCATCTCCAAGCCACCATGCTACCCAAGCCTACTGCATTTCCTACTCTACAGCACTACACATGGTGCTGTACATGTAGAAGGAACAATAATTAGTCTTGGTTGGAGGAAAGGTGGTTAGAAAAGCCCAAATACAAATAATTACAAACACATAGGGAGTAAATAAAGCCACAGGAACCCATGAGGCTTTCAATTCCTATGGAGTGTTGACAGGTTATAAAAAGGAATAAATTTTAGGCCATCTGCTCATAAACCTTGCTATAGGGATTCTGTGATTTCTTGTTACACCTTTGAAGATTATGTTTTTTTGTTACCTCTGAACTGAGCTGCCCTAAGCTTGTACCTATTTTGGGTACAAGATCATTTCAGTAATGCGTCAAATATATAGCCAGCTAGCTGATAATTGGAGAGTCCTGCTTTCTTCACCAGATCATGGTGTAAAACAGGAACTTTTATGCTAAAGTTATCCTGATTGTCACTATTATATACGCTTATATACTCCAGTGATTAATTTAGGAAAGAACAGAAGCTGTAACAATAATCTGCAGTAGCCTACAATTAATTAATTAAATTTAAAAGGCTGTAAGAAATAGATGTTTGTTTAAGTAGTTACAGATACAGCTCATATTACCATGCAGAGGCATCAAACACCAAGTCCTTTAATGTACTTTCCTTACAACATCTACTAGAATGGCTTCTTATGTAACATGATTAATCTATTCACAGACATGATTATTACCCATTGAAAGAGCCAACACATACAAGCCAAGTGATTTTTATTATTGTCAGAACTTGCCACCATCAGGGAAGAGCAGATAATGAGCAACATGTTAAAGCATAACATGTACTGTATGTATATTAACTGGCAGCTAAAGAATATCAGTCATTACAGCTACAGAAAATGCAATCATTTTCAGCTGAGGATCTACCATTCTGGAGTGCCGTGTCAGATTCTGATTGGAAGGGCATACTGGAATTCGAAACTTTTCAAAGGCTGATTTGTAAGTGGCCACGAACCTCAGACAATTGACAGGTATTTATCAATAATCTGACCGCCAATTTGAGTGTAACATGCACATACATTCTTAATAAGAATTATATTGCGTGCAAGAAAAATAATCTAAGGCTAGGTGTAAACAAACAGAACCCCAGCATACCTCTATTGTGACAGCTTACCACACTGAAACCCAATATTTTGGGCATGGGGTAAATAGGGACACCCAAATCACAAGGAAGTGATCAGTGCTTTAAAGCTGTATTGATTTATACATCACTATTTGTTTTATATGCAAGCAGTGTAAATATCCAAATTTGACTTGATACCAGTTGCTAGACATGTGCGATTCGTTTCGTTCCGAATCGAAATTCGGACGAATTTTCAGAAATTCGGATGTATCCGAATTCCGAATTACAGACATAACGAATGCAAACGAATCCGAATTTCCATTTCCGAAATTCGGCAGCGTTAGTACGAACGTTCGTTTCGTTTTCTGTTCTTTTTAGTTTCTTATTCGTTTCGTATTCGTTTCGTTCGTTGGAGCAAAGTGACATTAGAGAAGGAGAAAAATATTTTTTCCCCCTCAAATGTCACTTTTGCTGCAAACGAACGAACGAAACGAATAAGAACAGAAAACGAAACGAACGTTCGTACTAACGCTACCGAATTTCGTCCGAATCCGAATTTCCGAATCCGAATTGACTTTCACACCCGAATCCTGAAAAACGAAATAACACAAATCCGAATTTAAAACGAAACTAAACTAAACGAATTTTTTGGCAGTGCACATGTCTACCAGTTGCTTGCAATTCCTGTACAGCAGAGCTCATACTGAGGGAGGGAGAAGTAGCAAAAGGAGCCAATCAGTTGTGCTGCACTGCAATGAGAATGCTGATAAGAGGAGAGAGAGCAATGGAGAGATGAGCTCATTGATGTGCTGCTTTTCTTCTCAATGTCCAGTCATAGGGCAGAGGTGGAGCGGAGACCATTAACTGTTACTTAACTGGAGCAGAGAAAAAACAGGTCTCCTGCTCTTCCACTCAAGGTTGTCCTGTGTGGCAGACTATAATCACCTTTCATCTCAGCCCGAGTATTGCCATGTGGGGGTTGCACCTAGAGCTATGCACATAGTGGCTTTCAGAAAGTCAGTAGTGGTTTCTATGCAACAACCCTCTTAGTTTAGATTTCTTGCATGCAGTACTTTATAGTTACACTAGACTCAGGAATTAAATCTAAACAAAGCAAAGTACACTATTAACAACACTGTGCCTTATTTGTGCATCAGCTGTAGATCCTCAAATCCTCTTAGAATTCATGCTGACACTGTCCTGCCTTCTGGAGGGCGGCTACTTACTTCTGGGGGGTGGCTACTTTTGGTCCTCATGGTCTCTGTGTTGTAAAGTAGCCACCACTCCAAGCTCACTCCTGTGATGGGCTACAATCTCAATACAAATTAGTAAACTAAACGTGACATTGTAGTCCATCATGAGTGTGAGCGGTGACTACTTTATAACGCACACAGGGGCCAAGGGGAACAAACATAGTGACTGCACCAATTCAGAGATGATTAGAGGATCTGCAGCTGAGTGATACACAAATAAGCTACATTTGTGTTAATAGTTAAGATACTTAAATGCATTTTTCAGATTTAACTTCTGAGTTTAGTAACTTTAAGTTAGACACAGAAATTAGATGGTAAACAGTCATGATGGCACAATTTTACCTATGAACACATTATAAAAAAAAATATTTGCTGAGAGTAATGAACATGAATGTCTATACATTGAGCAGTCACACTTTACTCCGGCATTATCGTATCATGGCCTAATTACATGAACATTACAAATTTGTCATGAAAATGAATGACTTCCTGGAGGATGTCTGTTCGGACAGCTGCAGACACAACCAGTGGCCCCCAGTCCAATGATATCTGACATTCATCTAATATCTGTGGCTACTTTTATGAATGCCATTCTTGTCTCAGTGGAACAATAGACTATCAGGCTAAAGGATGTCTGTTGTCCGAGTTTTTATTTGTCTGAAGCCAAACATAGATTATATGTAGATGACCTACTGCCCAACTGCAGGAGGGGTCAGACAAAATTCATATAATATCTATAATAAAACACGTGCACAGATGACAGAGATAACAAAGAACGGGATGCTAACAAGGCACATTTGCAGACCATTTCTCCTCCCAGCAATTTCCTGAACAAATATACATTTTTAGGGAATACAAATAAACAAAATCATTTTGAAATCTTTGGCGCTCTGGAACGTGTTTTAGGCATTAGACAATCAGAGAGAAACTCGTGTGATTTTAACCCGGGACCATCACTCATCTGATGAAAGAAAATAAGACAATCAGATGCCGGTGTCTGGATGTAGACGGTCTGCTGCAAACAGCAGTTCAGGAATGTCAGAAGGCTTCAGAAGTCTTGTGGACAACACCACCACCTACAATAAAAGAGAAAAAATAAAATGGTAATCGAAGAAAAGATTTGGTTTATTTAATCTCTTAAAGAAGTAGAGCAGTATAATTAAAATGCAGGGTTCTGTTTTCTAAGGGGGACTGTCAACCTAGAAAGATTTAAAATGTATTTTCACTTTTGCAATTAAAGTTAAACCCCACTCTATTGTTGTTATGTGTTCACATTCACACAGCATACCGAAATGTTTTCTGTTTTGTAAATATATGTTACCTTTTACATGTACCTGTGTAGCAGGCCTTTGCAAGCTTCTCTCTAAATATGCAAGTGACAAGAAACTTTGTCTGTCCCCAAAGAAAGACTAGGGACAGACTGAGCTTCCCCTCATTACATTACAATGTTTCTAGATCTTTAAACCTTTGTTAGGACAGACACTATTCAAATCTAGTTTACAAATGATAATGAGATCTGCCAGCACAGTACAGACAGGGTGAAGTGTGTTAATATTAACCTGACCAGCCCCCCTTGCACTGCAGCGGTAAATTCAGTGGAGTGAAAAAAACCTTTCTTTCAGAATACAGCAAGTAATTTTCAAGCAGCAATTTCTTAATTGCTATGCTATGTGAATGAGAACATATAATACATATACAATAGGTGTTATCCCAATTTGGCTGCAAAAGTGGAAATACACTTTAAAAAAAAAAAAAAAAAAAAAAGGTTTCACCTACTTTCCCTGCACTGGCAAAGCAGCTAATATGCAACTGGACACTTTACCAATACCCTCACACACCACAAGGATTTAGAAGGGCAAACAGCACAATATAAAATACACAGAAATTAATAAGAAGCCATTTTATATGAATATAATAAACGGAAATCTGATTGAGTCCAGTGGGTTATTTTGCATTATCACTATTATTTGACCCACTTAACTGAAAAAGCCCAAATATATCCGTGCTCCCTTACTTTACTGCCTCATGCTGCTGGATTACCCAGCTCAACTATAAGCTTCTTATAAGCTTCATAGGGAACGTTCCTACTGCATTATGAGATCAGAAGATCAGAACTTTTTTTCTGTTGGACACCTACTCCGCTATGACATGTCATGATAGAAAAAACACAAATTCAAATTTCTGCACATCTACAAAAATATTGGTAATAGGGCACCATAAAGGTATAATCTCTTGTTCATTGTGCTCAATTTAATTGTTTTTCATGTTACTCTTGTAGAATATTTGTAATAGACGTTTTCATACTACTATTGTTGTATGGTTTATTGTTGAACTTAATAGACATTTATTGAATTAAAATTATATTGTCTCTAAAGCTTAAATGAGATCATCTTACACAGCATATAAGAATCATACTTTATGCAGTACTTAATTAGGGTACGTGGTATGACTAAAGGTGCAAGATAGCTGTATGGATTATCGTTTGGAATTACCCAATGTTCTGTCCTAAATCATAGGGGACACAGGAGGATGGTGGAGAATACATACACTGTATTAAAAAATGTCACCTTACATTTGTCATCACAACTGTACTGCTTTTATAAACATGGACATATTTTCTTTGTCATGGGTCCAAAACCCTCATTGCAGTCCCCCTTCATAGCATCACTATCTACTGTCCAGGAGTATCACCCCACACCTAAAACTGTTGGGAGACAGCAGCAGCAGCAGACTGTGGTTCTTCTTCAATGGCATAGGTAGCAGAACTGATCAAAATGAATTGGAGTCACAACACACACAAAATTGCTTGCGATTGCAGACTGCATTGTTCATTTTGGATAAGACATGCAAAGCTTATCCTCAAACAGGAAGAATAACTCGAGGTGCTGATGTTACAGCACTAGGGAGTAATATTTGACCATAAAGTGTCTATGTTTGTGGTTCCTACTAGTGATATTTTAGAAAAGGCTGCATGCAAATGAGAAACAATGCTTTCCTTGGAATAGGGACATCGAAACAAGCTTTCAATTACTCCAGCAGAGCACACCCTAAGGGGTACAAATGACCCTGGTCATATACCCTTTTCCCTTCTTTGTGAGCCCCATACCCATGCATAGTGCCTACATATAAAACAGCTCAGTTCCTAGGCGTCTCACACACTATAATACTTTGCTGCTATTATATGTTAAATATTCAGTTCTCGTGTAATATAACATTCAAGTGTATCATATATTGTATGTATTAATATTTAGGGCACACTCTCTTCATCACTACTCTGTTCCAATAATAATCTTACTGTTTTCTTCAATTGTATTAAACATCAACAAAGATTTATACTAGAACTATACCTCTGCCTGCGATGGCATTCTCTTACAATCACCAAAGTAGGATCACACTGCGAATGGGCTTTGTAACCCATTCATAACTGGGTTGCTGTGCCTAACACACTGACATCAACTCTGGGAACTGCCGCACTAATCATTTTGAGCTATGGGAATGAGAAGCTGGATAGTGCTTTTGACTCTCACAAATGTACTTAACTGGCAGTAGACAAAAATAACGTGCTTGCTAACATTTTCAGCATTATACTTAGTGGCAATTTATGCGGTGTCATGCAAAGCCATGTACACAAGTTTTCCTTATTATTTGTTTGCCAAATAAGTCTAATGTGACATCCAAAAGGACAGCTGAATAATATTAATATATTAAACAGGTTCATAAGTATTGGCCGTGATAAGAGATTGCATCCAGGAACAAGCATCTCTCCCAATCTGCAGGTAATCATTCCATGTATGATTACCTGTGGACAGCCACAGACAAATGTGGCCGCTATCAGCCTGTCATTAAAGGGTTATTAAACCCTTGCGTGTTTTTGCATATATCTACTGCTAGCGAGCAGTAGATATATGCAAAAATATGAAAAGAAAAAAAAACCCTTTCAAAAAGGGTTTAAACTTACCTTGTGTCTTCGCCACGCGCTCCCGTCCGAACATCTGAAGAGTCTCGGGCGGACGCAAAGGATCTTTGGGTGGGCGCATGCGCACTTCAGATGTTCGGCCGGGAGACGAGTAGAGACACAAGGTAAGTATATGGAGCAGCGTGCACCCACAAAGACACTGTGGGACATCAGAGAAGAGGAGGACAGAGGAGTCAGCTCTGGATCGGAGACCCGCACCAGCGCTGGAGGCACAGCTGAAAAGGACAGTAAAGAAGAAGATGATCGGATTAAGAGGCATCATTTAGGGTAAGTCCCTACAGCAGGATTGGGCATGGGGGAAAAAAACTTTGACTTTAATGTCACTTTAACTTGAATGGGCACAGCGGGTGCTTTTGTATAGACACACCTGGAATTCCTGCTGCGTGTTCTTGTTGCAGGAATCCCCAGCCGCAACCTTAAACATTGTGTGCATGAAGTCTAAAGGTCAAAAATATTTGAAACTTGCAGGTATGCTGTGGATACAGTGTAGCTTGCAGATAACTAAATGGGACACCATACGTTTGTTAAGCAGAAGTCCTCTGTTAAACATCCAGGAGGGACAGGCACCTATGCAGGGATGAAGATGATGGGCAGGGATTGACTTGAAATAGCTCATAAAGTCTATAATTGCCCTATAAAAGTCTTGCAGTTTGAGGAAGAATTTTTATCAGTGGAGATACAAGGTTCCATTTGTCTCCTCTACATTTTACAGGAGTGTAGAAACCCCAATAGAGCGCTGAAGAGATAGAACATGGAGCAGAAAGAATGAAAAAATGGCAATTGCTTTCCAGGGTTCCTATTAACAGTCAGACAGAACAGAATTAATCAAGAAGGACCTATGAGAGGCCACTCCTATTTCACAGAATCTCATAGCTGAGCAAGGATAAACCTGTAAAACAAGGTTCTGCTTTCATAAAAGAGGGGTTTCCAGTTATTGACAAGCAGTTCTTCCCACTTCATTATTAAGAAGTAGTAGGTGGGCTATGCCTATTATGATAACAAAGATTTGATAAGCACAACCGTAAAGTGAGAACAACGGAGTGAGCCGGGCACTATCACAGGTGGTGAAGGGCTTTGCTGCATCCAATTGGGAAATATATGCTATAGTTACATTTTTTTAAATGGTTGGTTTGTGACATTAAGGTATACTAAAGAATATGTTAGTATTCAGATTTTATCATTTACAATCATATGAAAAAGTAAGTATGGATATTTTTGACTTTTTGAACATATTTGAAAAGGCAAACATTAGATCTGCATTCAAACAGTGCCACACGACAACATTGCATTCTCATCAATTAAGATTATGAGAATGAATACACCAAGTGAATGTTATGTGTCTTGTGTTAAAGTATATCCCCTGTATCTGTAGGCACTGTTTAAAAGAAGATCTAATGTTTGCTTGTTCAAATATGTTGAAAAAGTCAAGAATTTTCTGTGGGGCTATACTTACGTCTAAGCTCCCATGAGAACAGCAGGCTGCAATATTTACAAAATTGCAGATAATTTCAAAATATAAATAAAACAGATAATTTCATCTAATCTCCTGCTGCTGATTTGATGCATGCATGCCATTGCCATTCTAATGCTATCTAAAGCAATGAAGTGGAGAAGTGTTAAAATCTCTGTCAAGTTTTTATTGTTATGTCCCTGCTGGGGAGATTCATTCTCTATGTTTGTCCCTGTGACCATTATAACTGGGACGGAGAAGTATAGGTAATCCAAAATGTTAAAGTTGCTACCAGAACAGGTAGTGAGGGTAAATCTTCCAACAGAGACACCTTGTTCAGTGCTAGGATTTTCTTCATACTTTGAAGAGATTTCCTCTCAGTTCCTGTTTTGTCTCTGGGACAGTAAGTACAGGGAATTCTCTCAAAACCAAATAATGTCCTACTCTATAAAACAAAACAAAATACTGAGAATGCTAGCATTTTCACAAAGAGGTCAACAAAGGCAGCCCAAGTATTTCTGTCATGACTTGCTACAAGTGTGGGTAAAAAGGTTCTGAAAGAATTCAGCTTTAAAGTCTATCTCCTGCACTGTAAGGGTTAACTGCTTGTTTATGTTTAGGGGAGTTTTGTAATGGACTTTCACTTACCT